TAGTTCTTGCTTCAGCCCTGGCGTCCTAAAGAAGGCCTGCCCCGGCATGCCCACCCTGTGCCGGCCTCAGCTTTGTGGGTCCCTCCAAGGAAGGGAGTATCTGGGGCAACCAGGGACACCTGTAGGGCCTTGCGAGGCGGGCCTTTGGGCGCATCCGCACGGTGTTACTGAGACTCTCTGAACTTCGGGGCAGCCGGCTCCAGCTGGAGGGAGAGCAAGCCCTCCAGGGAAACAGAGTGGAAAGCTCACCCCACTGGAGGGCACCCAATCTCACCCTCTCACTCTGATTCCACCGCGCAGCCCAGAAGATATTTCCGAGTTCCAGCCGCACAGGGACCCTTGAAGTTCCGGGAAGGGACTGGCTCCCGCACATCAGCCTGCGAAGCCTTAACCCTGACACCAGGTCTTTCCGGCCCAGGCGCGCGGCTCTGCTGCTTTGCTCCCCGCAGCTGCTGCCCCAGGACCTCCTTCCCTCCTCGCTCACCGGGCCGCGGTGGGCAGAGCACCCAGGGATCAGGGTCGGCTCGCGCTGGGCTGCGTTCTGGCTGCGCAAGAGGAAGCCTGGTTCTCCGCCAGCCCCAGGAGCCTCCGCTTTCGAGGCACAGCGCTCAGGATTGGCCTGACTTTTCCTGCTCCCCAGAATGCCCCGGGGGCAATGGCTCACCCGCTCACCTAGGCACCGGTGAGGCGCACCACCCGCCGTCTACGCACACCAGCGGGTTTTGTCACCCTATTCCCAGCACACGCTCTCACACACTGGTACCCACTGGTTCCAGTCCCCTGCCTACGGCTCTAGGCAGCTTTGAGCATCAGGGGACCGAAGCCATAGGATTGGAATGGGGGCCACACACACACACACACACACACACAAGGAAGGGGCCCAGTCCCAAGTCCAGTCCCTCCAGGTCCTTCTCCGCCTGCCATTCAACACAGAAGCATTTCTCTCTCTCCCTTCTCGGGCCAGCAGCGTGCTGGCAAGGCGTGGGCAGTGGTGGGGTCATGGAGGCTGAATTCCCAGCGTCCAGACTCTGGCACCCCCACTCAGCTGGTCCTTGCTCTTCTCAGGGGCCCAAATGGTGTTTCCTGCAGGGACTGGGGGAAACTGAGGACTGAATAGCCCGGCGTCTCTCCCCAGGTCTCCCTGGCTCTGTTCAGCCTTCGCCTGTGTGGGCCCCAGGAGACAAGCTTCAGGGCGGAGACACCAAGGTCCAGGCTTGACCCCAGTCCTGGTGAGGGCCGCCTAGCGGGGCATGGGCGGGGAGGGAAGGGAGGAAACTTTCGAGGCCTCGCAAGCCCCCAAGTTCCCCTCTGCTCTCAGTAGCCCTTGGCTTTTATGCCCCCAAGGAAATGAATCAGCCAACTGCCCTGGAGGCTGGGCGCTCCATTCCCCGTCTGGTTTCACCTCCGAGGGTTGGGTGGCTATGGGACCCGAGAACAAATGAGAGGCGAACGCCGTCGCAAGAGCAGAGAAGGAAACTAGGGCTTCCAGTGGCTGCCTCCCTTCGGCTGCGTCCCTTCGGTGGTCGCAGGAGTAACACCCCTGGTTTCTATGCTGCCACGGGGAGGGGGGCACGAGGGAGGGATGCCAGGCCGCTAGGAACCCTGTTTGGTGAACTCCGACGGGGACTGGTTGTGTTCACCTGGCTACATCTGCGCAAGTTACCTCCTGGAGGACTGGCTTGTAGAGATTTGTGCAGTGGGCGAGTAGCTACTCGGGTTTATTTTCAGAACTTCTGCATAGTTTCCCCGTTGAAAATAAATGTTTTGGAGGTTAGCTTTCCAAGGGAGAATGCACGAGGTCCTTTACGGAATGAAGCTGGAGGGCGGGCACCTCGCCCCCTACTGGCCAGTGGGCACTCCCGGCCAACTTCAGCCCGGGCCTAGGTGGTGGGGAGCGGCTGCCGGGGCAGGTGGGGTCCCTGACCTGCTGCCCCTGGGGCTAGAACCTCTCTCCATCTGGGACGCCGAGGCCGCGTGCTGAGCCCTGCCCGAAGCTTCGCTGCGAGGCTGGGCCCTGGCTCCAGCGGGTGGCTGGGCTGGCACTGGCCGCTGGCAGGGGCACCAGGGGGAGTGTGGATTGTGTGCTGCTGGGGAGAGCCACGATGTATCTCTGTGCTCCTGTGTGTGAGCGCAGGTATTTGGGAGGGGCTCATTTGTGTGTTATCTCCCAAATATCGAATATCGGTGCAGGAGAGTGTGTGATTTGCCTGAGGACATGTGTGCTTGTGGGCCTGTGTGTGTTTCTTTATGTGTGTACGAGCGCCTATGAACATATGTGTGACGCTCTGTGTTTCCCTGTGTGGCCACTACGTGTGAGGGGGTGAGTTTTTTGGTGCATCCACAGTGCCTGACAGATAACAAGCTCTCAGTCCTATGAGTCAAATTGTAAATGCGTATGCTTGTGCCCTTGTGAAAGCCCCTACGCAGCCTGTTTGCCTGTGTATCTGGAAAATCGGGGGCAGGTAGGGTTGATGTGCGCTTCCCCCCTTCCAGAGGAAAGCTGGGGTCTGTCAGCTGGGCTTCCTGCACCCCTGAGCCTCTCTGGGCCCCCAGGCGGCAGCTGGCTCCGACCCCAGCAGTGGGCGGAGGCCGGGCCCCTAGGGCCCTGTAAGTACAGACCAGGCCCCTGGAGGACCCTATGTCCCCTGATAGCTGAGCCTCTGAGGGAGGCCAAGAGCGCTGCCGGGGCAGGGTCCCCCTGGAGCGCCAGGACGGGGTGCCTGGAGCGGCGCCAGGGGGGCAGCCCCACAGTGCTCGGGGGTTCGGTCCCTTGGCCTCCAGGCCCGCACGCAGCGAAGGCGGAGGCACAGCCCGGCGCCGCGGGCCCAGCCAGCTGTGTGCGTGCGGGTGTCTGGCCTGGGGAGGAATCCTCCGTCCTCAGAAAGTCTCCGGGAAAGAGATTTCGGTGAGCGCTGGTTCCACCAGAAAGCAGAGACCCGAGGAGTTCCCGAGCTCAGAGATCACCCCGCAGGGAGGGCGCCTCACCCCCGCGCGCAGGCTGGTCCTACACATTCTGGACCGCAGGTGGGACGTGTTTGGTGCTTGCAGTTGCGGGGCCTAAAAAGCATAGACTCCAGGAGTCCCGCCGCTCCGCCGGGCCGGCTGGACGCGGGTTTCCTAGAGGGGGAGGGGCTCGGTCCCTCGGAGGGGGGCCTGCTGCGGTTAATTTACAGCCGCGGGCGGGGCACCTGGGGCGCAGGACGCGCGGAGGCGCTCCCTCCGCTGCGCGCCCGGGTCCGACGGCCTCGGGCTTCCCTCCGAACGCCGCCCGCGCGGCCCGCCTCCCGACTCCTCTCACTTCTCTCCGACCCACGTTGTCTCCCTTCAAACGGCAGATTCTGAGCCTGGAGACCTTTGCTCTACGGCCGCACACACAAGACTCGGGCTTGGAGGCTGGATGGGCCGCTGCCCTCGGCGCCAGCGAACCTGCCCGGTGGGCTGCGCCTGGCTCTGGGGACTGCGATCGTTAGGGGAGCGCGCCCCTTCGGGGAACCTCCACGGCCCGATTAGTTCCCCAGCTTTGGTATCTCCCAACACAGGCCCCATGTACCCAGGCTCCGCGCACGGGCTCCCGTTTCCTACCCAAGCCCCCGAGGTGAAGGAGGGGGCGGTGAGGGCACTGCTTGGCTGGCGGGGGGAGAGGGGTCCCCGAGAGGAGCAGGCTGCCCCACCCCGCTTCCCCACGGAGCCCCCCGACAAGCGAAGGAAAAGAGGGGGTTTCCGAGTGAGTCTGCGACTTGCACACATGGTGTACGTGGGAAGGCATCTCCGGGCTTTGGGACTCACGAGGCATCGCTGCCCAAAGTGGCCCACGGGAGTGTTGAGTCCCTGCCGGGAAATCAGACACTGCAGCACTCACGGCTCACCGGCCTCGTAGTATATATCCATATATATTTATCATTTCTAATTTTATTATAAAATAAAAGCAGAAATATTTCCCGAAGAACATTCACATGAGGG